CTCTACCTGTATGTCATTGAGGTCTATCAAGGTCTATTTCCTCAGTCTTTCAGTATCACACAGAAAGCCTGAGAATTGAGCCAAAATTTTCCATTAAATAAGGTTTTCTTCCATGTTGTTTATGTCAAGTGCTAATGTCTTGAAATATTTTAGAGCCATTAAAGCTATTGATTTTTATAAGCATTTCGTCTCTATTGGCCATTTATCATTCATATTCCTACACTTTCTACTCTTATCATAAACCATAAAAGAAATCCCAGTACCTAGAAAGTGATTACTTTTGACAACTGAAAAATCCTATGAACCTTCCAATTGCATACAAATTTTAAAGAGCATGTACATTATATTGATTAATATTGGGTCCAAGCAGGAAAAATTAAAAGGCCTTAGACCCATGCCAATGAGTTTGGACCTTGCTCTGAAGTCCCAGAGGGGCCAGAGAAGAATCCTGAGCAGAGATGTCCTTTGTGTTTAAGGAAGATCCCTCTGCGAGTAATGGAGAAGCTGATTGAGCTAATCCCGTAGTCCTGACAAGAGGTGAGCATGCAGTGAGGCACTGTACGTGAGGATGAGGAAAATGAAAAGGGAGCTCACAAAAATAATAGAAGAAATAGCTTTAGAGTTGCTGGGAGCGGGGGGGGGGGGCAGTAAGGGAGAGTTTTGGATGACTTCCAGGTTTTTCTCTCCCAAAGGACTGTAATGATAAAAGAAAAAAACATGGTCAGAACATGCCTGAGAAGAGAGCTTATGGCTCCAGTCTGTACATGCTAAGCTTCAGTTGCCTGCAGTACATCTTGGAAGAGATGTTTAATAATTAGTAATCAATAGTTGTACGTTCAGCTTAGTAGCTTCAGAGTACTTTAGGCTTGCTTAAAGGTTTTCTTTACAACAGTAGTGAAAACAGAAAGCACTTTGTCCTTAACCTTGTAGTTATAAAGGCATTTGAAATGTCTGACATAATAATTTCAAAATATAAATTTAACCATTTGTGTTTTTAAATATTAACTTAACTACTTTAAAAGGGAAATACAATTAATGGAAATACTTTTTTAATAAAATTGTTCATAGAAAAATTTCACTTTTTTATAGCTATTTATTATAGATCTGTGAAAACAAAGACAATGACACTGAAGTAAACATTGACAGTTATATCCCAGAATTACTGATTAATAGAGAAATAGCTTGTATCATTGTATGAGGCCAGGAAGTATGTATACACAAATTTATTTTAAAAGTGTTAGTACTCATGTTTTTATATCTCACAATCAGACCATATTGTATCTTGCGTCACTTCCATGAAACCATATTGGAGTAGTTAATGATTGACTCCCTTTTGTTTTTTTCCTTTACTTTTACATTATAAATTTTTATTTAATTATACCAGCCTAGTTATCTTGCTAGAAAACTCTAGCGTTAGAGCTGTCTACTTACCCATAAAGGCACATAAGAATAGTTTGCACTAGTGATTCTACAGGATTTGAATAGCAATGAATATTAATAGCAGCTACCATTTACTGAGCCAGTGCAATGTCAGAGACCATCATGCTAAATATTTTATGAGCATTACCTCAATTAATCATCCCCAAAACCGTTTGTGATATTATCAAGTCCATTTCATAGATGAGAAAAAGGAGCCTCAGAGTTCTTGACTTGTCTCACAGTTGATGCAGCTTCAAACACGGATTTGTCTGACGATGTCATCATCGTTTTAAATTGTTACATATTTTGTTTCTACTTCAAAATTGTATTTTATGTTGATCCTCTTTTTACATTTTCACAAAAATTTGAACAACCATGTCAATGCTGGTTGGGGGCCTTTCCTAGGAGAACTCAAGATTAGCCCTTGTCATCCTGGTATTTCGTTGTCCCTGCTGTACCCGATCTGAATCTTTGATGGTCTCCTGTTCCTCAATGCAGGGAGCCCAGGAAAAAGGATACAGGGGTCTCTCTTGGGCAAGCCACTTAGCACTGACGCCTGTGTCAGAGACAAGCTGTTCTTTTCAGTTTCCAGGAGTCAGGAGTCAGTTCTTGGCCAATATTCCCCGGAGACTTCCGGGGGAACATCCGGATGTAAGAGAACCATTGACATGCCACGGGGTTATCTTCCACTGAAGGATCAATGTACTCTTAGAGGACTTTCTCTGCTAGTCTGATGTCCAAGTGCCTTTCATGGTCGGCAAACTGCAGCTTGTGAGCCACATGCAGCTCTTTGGCCCCTTGAGTGTGGCTCTTCCACAACATACCATGGCCTGGGCGAGTCTATTTTGAAGTGGCGTTAGAAGAAGTTTAAGTTTAAAAAATGTGGTTCTCAAAAGAAATTTCAATCATTGTCCTGTCGATATTTGGCTCCATGGACTAATGAGTTTGCTGGCCACGGGCCTTGGCAGCTGAATACTCAGTATTCTGTGAGACACATTGGATCTCATCTTCTGGCACATTTTATAGGTGACATTTCTTCTGGGACCAGAGAATTCAAATGAATATGTAAGTAATGAGTTAAAACTGGTATATGTGTTGAGGAGAAGGCAAATAAAAGGAACGTAGTACCGCCTAAATTCAATAAATCTTGCTACTTTATAATAAAAAATATAGAAACTGCTTTCTTTTCCATGGAGGTCACGTGTGCAGCATTAATAAGCTAAAGTACACAGAGTGAAATGACAAATCTAGATAAACTGCCCACGAAGCTTATGTTTGCCTCAGGTTGTTTAAAGATGCTTGAAGGCTGTAAATCTTTGACCCTCATCCTGACTATTGATTGGCAAAAACACCACCCTTGTTTTTAACTAATAAAAACAATGGTTTCTCTTTACTTTAGAGCAGGTATCATATGGAGTAGTTAATTTTTCACTTTTGTAAATGTGCTTCTCACCCAATTCTTTCTTGGAGGCTCCAAGACATCTATTTTAAGAAAAGAGGTGAAGTCACCACATCACACTGAGAAATCTTGGTTTTGACCTTCTCTTCACCTTTAGTTCCCCTCAACTTAAGGGTTAAAATTAACCACATCAGCAATATAGAAAAATGCCACCTAACAGCATTGACACAATTTTCCTGTCCCTGTTATTTAAGTGCATTTTTCCAGGGAGGTAGTCGGGGATTGAATGTAAAAAAAAAAAAAAAAAAGTGAGAATTCTATTAAAAATTAAATTATTGGCTAAAATCATAACTTTTAAAAGAGATTCAAATTCAGATCCTCATTAAGGAAAACAAAACAAAACAAAACAAAACAAAAAAACCTCTTAAAACTAATATCTCAACAAAAATAAAACCATAAAATTAATTTTCTTAATGTGTCATCATTGAACACATACAAAGAGCTGAAGGTTTTTCATGGTGAATTCTAGGAAATCAATGCTGATGTTATTAAGAAAATATTTCAGCAAAATTAGGATTTACAAAAATCTCAGCTTGACATTTTTACCAATGTCTTCTAATACTTTATAGAACTTCACAATCAGATGAGTTTCTCATTTTTTATCAACAAACCCCTATGGTCAGCATTCATGTTTTAAAGCTGGTTGCGGGCCTTTAAAGCCTCAGGAATATCTTGCCAGGCTCACTCTGACCACTCTTCCAGCTCCCCAAGCTCTGCCACATCTTTTCATTTTTGACTTTGAGTCACAGATTCCGTACCTGCTGGATTCCTATCCTGAACACTAGTCCTGCCTGCTGACCCCTCTTCCCACAGCTCCTTTCCCCAACTTCTCCTACTTCCCACTCATTCTTTCTCTCTCAGCAAGTCACTTCTTCCAGACCAGCTCTCCTGATCTCTTGTCATGTACGCATCACCATAAGCTCAACTCCTGTGACACAATTTCTCTAAGCGGCCTTCACTTCTTTTCACAACTTCAATTCACCATTTCTTTATTACTACCAATTGCGTTAATGTTTAGCTTAATGTCTGCCCTACCTCATAAACTGTAAGCTCCATGAGAGGAGGGACCTTATCTGTTGGTGTTATCACCAGTGTGACTGACAAATTTGTTAAAATGTGGGATAAATTAGAGTTATCTCTTGAAACCTTCAACATATTAACTCCTTAACAACACCTAACCAAGTCTAAGAACACGACCAAGATATTGCATTAAGAATACTCAATAAATAAAAATTAATTCTTGGGATAAAGTTTTTAATAGGAAAAGGAATCTAGAAGTACATTTATATCTACCTCCAAAGCTCCCCATGCTACTGAATGGACAGAGCGGCTTTTACTAGTAACTTTTAATATGACAAGTAAAAGGGTCTAATTAAGGAGTGGCCGATTTTATCCTCGTAAACACTGAATAATTATGATTGAAATTATAGACATTAGAAGATAAATTTTGGGGGGGAAATCAGAGATCTTTTCAACAGGATTAGATTGTACAAAAAAACTAAGTACATTTTTGCTCATTCTAGAAATAGACTATTTTATAATGGAAAAAATTTATGCATCTAAGGTAAATAGAAATTAATCACTACTTATAAGATTTTGATATTAAAAAATTAATTGAAAATCTTTTTTCCAACCAGAATAAAGACTTTAGTTAGATAATCAAATATCTCAAAATTAATGAATAGATTACTCACTCCAGTTTTTTCTACCCCTTGCTAATGCCTATAATTGAGGGGTAACTGAAATTTACTTTCTTTTCATTTTATCAGTGTGCCTGTGGAACCGACAGGTTGTGTTCTCTGCCATTTACAAACTCAAGAATTTAATTTAGATTTTAATAATTGAGTGAGATAGTACAATAATCCTTTATATAAATTCATCATTCCTTATCTTCCCAAAGCACAAAATGTCCTGTATGCCACAACCGCTATTGTTTACCTTTCTGGAAGGTTTTTGTTTAAATTTCTATTACTAACCTAGGATTGTAAAACTGTCTTCAAAGTACAATAGGAACAGTTTACTACACCAGACCTTAGAAGAGTTCATAGTCATTACCATGAGACTTGTAAAACAATTAATTTACTCCTTATTCTGTAGAAACCCGAGTGACTGAAATATCTCTTTCCAGGGAGTCTGGACATATCACAGTCCCAGCCCTGAGATCAACCACACCTTTAACATTTTTTCCATATTTTATTTTTTATTTCTCATCTTTTTAAATAAAGAGGGAAAGCATTTATAATCTTCGGTTACATAGAATTGGAATACTGCTATGTAACAGAGATAATCACGCCAATGCACAGGAATTGAAAGTTAAGCAACTTTGGTCTAGGCTGGATTGAATTAAGTCTTAAGTTTGTAAACATTTCCATAGGAGGTAGAACATACACATTTGACTTTTTGTCAAATAAGCGATAGTAAACAATCAATGCATCTGAGATCCTAATATATTAAAGGTTTTTTTTAAAGGCATTAAATAAACTTTTCTCTTTTTTAGAAACCAAAAATGTGAAACAGCACACAGATTTTTCAATAAATTAGAGAGTGAAACATTCAATCTTCATGGTTGAAATGTTGGCATCTTTAAAGCTCCACTGGTTCCATTGGATAACATTTGAAACTTTGATTAATAATGAGATCACATTTTAAACAGTTGGTGTGCAAAACAAACTCCGCAAGAATCTCCATTGACTATGGAGCTGTCCACCGTTTTGTCCTAGTGACTTGAAAAACCGTGTCCTGACACCGCATACTCCATTGTCTTTACTCTGATGAAAGTCTGAGAGAATAATATTTAGCAGTAGGAATTTTCAGAGTTTGACCCCCACCCAACATTGTTGGTTTAAGTGCCTCCGGCTGCTGTCCCCATGAACACAGTGTTGATGGGTGGCAAAGAGGACACCATTTCTCTCCCATTTGCTGCGTGGGAGTCCAGGGCTTCTTGAGTGGAATACTGATTGGAGGTTCCATACATACACTGAGATGAAGAGGAAGGAACTGGGGTTTGCAAGCTGGATGCTGTAAAGGAAAATAGAATCAGCAATTGAAAATTGACATTGATTTTCCCTGCAAGTGCCACTCACTTTAGGCCTCTTTGTTTATTGTTGCATCCAGCACACATCGCTATACTAAATTTGAGTGTATATGGTTTCTCAAAGCCATCCCCTATTTTCTTTCATTCACCGCCCCCCCCCACCTCGCTATTCTTCCAGAATTTACTTTTCACAATGAAAACTCAATACCAAATTTAAATTCACACAACTCTACCTCCAAAAGATATACCCAATACACCTCCTCTTTCCATCTGCACCTTCACAATTGGAGTTCAAACCACCATCTTCTCTAACCCGGAGCAACCTAGCAACCTCCTAATTAATCTTGCAACCCTCACCTTTGCCCCACCCTCTTGCCCTGCAGAGAGAGCCAGGATAACCTTGTTGAACAATACATCAGCTTATTCATTCTTTTCAAATGTTATAATGACTTCCCGTTACTCTTAGAACAAAACCCAGGTTCCTCACCCTAGTTCATAAACCCTGTGGGAATTTGTCTGCCTTCCGATTTATTTTACTCCATTCTCTTCTTCAATCACCATGTTCAAAACACATGCCTTCTTTCTGCACATGGAACTTCCCAAAATTGTTCCCATTTCAGAGACGATGCACTTGCTGCTTCTTTTGCCTAGTGTCCCCTCAGGCCTTCATGTCATTGTCTCCTTATCACTCATCTTTCAACGCCAATGTTTCTGCCTCCTGCTTCCTTTTACAACCACCTTATCTAGAAGTAGCACCTCCACCACTATTTGTCATTTTACCCTATTTAATTTACTTCAGAATAATTGAAATTCTTTTTCAATGTATTTGTTTATATGTTCATTGCTTTGACTCCCTTGAGCTTACTAAGATGTAAACTTCTTACCGGCAGAAATTCTGGCCTGATTACTACCATATCCTCACACCTAGAATAAAGTCTGACACATAGTAGGTTCTTAAAAAAAATCAGAATAGCTGGCTCACTAACACTACATTTCTTGTATTAATGGTTGCTGTGTTCTCATTGCTTTTATTTGTTGTTGTCATCAATCCTCACTCAAGGATATTTTTCCATTGATTTTTAGAGAAAATCGAAGGGATGAGGAGAGACAGAGAGAGAGAGAAACATTGATGTGAGACAGACACATGGATTGCTTGCCTACTACATGCACCCTGACCAGGGCTAGGGATCGAGCCTACAACCGAGTTATGTGCCCTTGACTGGAACCGAACCCAGGACCCTTCAGTCCACGGGGTCACATTCTATCCACTGAGCCAAACTAACCAGGGCTTACTGCTATTTTTTTAAATAGTTCTAACTACCATCTTTTCTGTCACCAAAAACCAAGATTTAAAACTCAGTTGACATACATTAGGTTATAACTTCACTTGCATGCCTTAGTTATTCTATTCCCTCTTTTCACCCTAAAGCCCTGTGTGCAATTTACTTGTAAGCCGGCCCTGACAACTAAAGCTTAGAATCCATCTCACACCTAAGCTATGTTCCATCAAAGCTACCACTATCTCAACAAGTAAACAGAACTAATAGTAACAATAGCAACACGGTACATTTTAGTCTCACAGTGAGGAAACTTCCTGAAGTGGAATTTTCTGCTTCATTAGAGTAACCTAGAAGCAATGACCATCTGCAGATAACATGAGATGAGCTACCAGACTCTGCTCAGGGAACAGCTGTGATGGTCCAGGAAGGGAAGGAGCACTTCCTATTGAATTATTAGAAAAGCACACTGAGTGGGTAGAGAGAATTTATCTCATGTTGCCTTCTGCTCCAGTTGGATGCTAATGCCCTTTACTTACACTAGTCTGAAATCTACTCCATAAGAAGGTTTCAACCATCCCATGTAAGCGTTAACACCCTGCCCTGAGACTCACATGAACATATGCTTGTCCTGTGATACCTTATTAGTAATTTTAGAAACTAAAAGTGTATGTTTTGCTCCTTTTTCAACTCTGATTTCTTGAGTTCCTACTATGAGGCAGACATTTTGCTGGATGCTGGTAATACATCTAATTCAAATTTCAAGATTATTATTATTATTTTTTTTTACCTACAGCAACCTGGGTGGAAGAAGATGCTACAGAACTTCATGGAAAACACTCTGTTGTACTCATTTTTACTTAAAATGTATGTTATAGAACAACAAATATAGAAACATTTTCTACAGAGGTGTCTAATCACATTTTACATACAATTGGGAAAATGATAGTAATCTCCACCACAAGCTACCAATTTTTAATACTTGGAATAGTTTTGGGGTACTGATGGAGATACCTACTAGCATTGCCTCTGGGTCTAACTATGAACGAGAGAGTGAGAAAAAGATATAATTATTGCACTCATAAAACCTAGACTGCCTTTGACAGGTTATATTCATTTTTGCATACATAATAGATGCCAGCTCTCATGTATGTTATGTGAAAAGATCAACAGACCTAGCAGTAGGTTTTAGCAGTAGTCACATACATATTGAGAAATGGTAAACTGTTACTTGCAGATTCAAAAATATAATGTCAGCCCTGACTGGTGTTGCTCAGGGGTTAAAGTGTCGCCCTGCGGAAGGCAACCAATTGTTATGACTCTCTCACATTGATGTTTCTCTCTCTCTCCCTTCTTCTCTCCCACTCTAAAAAAATCAAAGGAAAATATCCAGGTAAGAATTAATATTTCTCTGTCTTTATCTTTATTTCTATCTCTATATATTATCTCTATCTATTATCTATCTATCTATCTATCTATCTATCTATCTATCTATCATCTATGTCATCAGATCCAAAGTGACAAATCAACTGTAGGAACATGAGTGCCCAGTTCACCTCAACAGTCACCCTCCAAAGTAATACTGCATATACGAAGTTAACTTTTGAAAGTATCTTCAAGAGCTACTAAAATAACTTACCTACTACTGGGGTTCGACATGCAACTGAAGGTGATGTGTCTGCATAAAATGAGCTCGTCTGCTTTCTACTACTGTCATCTAAAATGTTAAGAGGATCGTGGATGTCACTATAGGAAGGCAGTGAGCGGACACTACTGATGACAGAAACGTGCTGATTCACCATTGATCCAAGTCTATGAGACTCTGGGTAGTTTACATTGTTTCCATAGTAACCTATAACAGAAAATGTCGAGAACAGACGGTTAACTTATTACAATGAATATTTCAGGAAGGCAAAGGAAGACAAAATGATATGATAGTGTCTAAAGATATCATACTGTAAATATTACATTCACATCTACATTTACCATAGAGTCGGGTTTCTACCTATATGTAGAATGGTTCACAGTGCTATTTTATTATTTTTTAAAAAATACATGTTACCTTATTACTAATTTAGAGATTTAATTATATCTCTCTAATACTTCTCTTATCTAAATTATCAAGGTCCTCCCATGATTGAAAAAAGCACTATTAGCTTCTCACAAAAACTACACTACTTATCAAATACCGATTTCACTGATAGATTCCTATTTCTGGAAAAACTGGCCTACGCTTAGGAGAGAAGCACCAGAACTGTCTGTACACAGAGCTTAGCTTGGTGGCTGAAGAAGTCCACAGAGCTTTCTAGCTCCTTAACATGTTTTATCAGCCTAACAGGGCCATAGTTTTGGTAGTAATCTTTAGGATGTGCTGCTAGTTCTCTGGGGGGAAAAGTAATCATTAAAAATGTTTTCAAAGAACAAAGCATTCTTCTCTGGAGCTATTAAGGTTATGTCTCAGACATATGGTTTGACATAATATTTTTTCATCACAGGTGGTATGTGAAATTTTAAGAAAACCTCAAGAACTAAGGATATGCTTATAGGCAGCAGAAATGACCTCCAAATGCCTAACATTCCATGATCTTCAGAAGGTTTGCATGGGATAGCATGCTACTTGGCAGAGATGGAACTCTGTCGGTTTGTCTTATTGCCCTCTCAAACGCCAGGGAAGCTTTAAAAATGGTAATACCATTAGGTGAATTGGGAGGCAGTGTTGCTCCTGGACAGCTGGCAGCCCCTGCATTGCTCAGGAAATTGTAGCTTCCTGTGTTTAAAAACTGCATGCTGTGTGCCTCCTGGCTGTGCGGGGATGGGCCGTAGCTGGACGGTGGCCGGGAACTGAAGGGAGATCCAGCACAGCTGCCGCTGAAGAACTCTCTGGAAAGCTGTTGGTCACTCCAGGCCATGCACCGACCATGCTCCGGGCGGTGAGGATAGAGTCCTGCCGGGGGGTGAGGCTGTGCCCTAAACACAGTCTGATAGTTAGAGCTGGTCCCATAAAAGTCATGGTTGGCCTGAGGAAGGGCAGGGTAAATGGGCTCTGGGTACGTGGAGCAGTGTGGTGGGGCTGACAGTACGGGACCCACACTTGGGGGTCTCCCCGCCATTGGACCTTGGTTAATGACACTTCCCCGACTGGCCATGGCTGGAGAGGTGGGTGGTGTCATCAGATGACCAGAACTCTGGGAAAGCTCCATTTGACCTGAAAATAAAAATAGTTACCAAAGTATTCACTACTGGCAGGTTAAAATAGATGGGCCACTTCTTTAAAAAAAAAAAAAAAAAAATATATATATATATATATTCAAAAGATTTATATATATATATATAAAAGATTTATATATATATATTCAAAAGATTTATTATTATACCTTTTCCCAACTTCCTACTCTCTCAAAACAACAAAACTGAGCCAAAACCGGTTTGGCTCAGTGGATAGAGCGTCGGCCTGCGGACTGGAAGGTCCTGGGTTCGATTCCGGCCAAGGGCATATACGTTGGTTGCGGGCACATCCCCAGTAGGGGGTGTACAAGAGGCAGCTGATCAATGATTCTCTCTCATCAATGTTTCTAACTCTCTATTCCTCTCTCTTCCTCTCTGTAAAAAAAATCAATAAAATATATTTAAAAACAAAACAAAACAAAAAAAAACCTGGGGAACACCGAAGATTGAGGTTTAAAAAACACCATCACAAAACATGCATATTTCACAGCAGTGGAGACTTTTGGAGTCAGTGACTATGGAAGAAAGTCTGAGGCCTCACGCTTCCACGGGTATAAAGATGGTTAGAGCTTAAGTTTGGGAAGGCAAAGGGGCCTGCTGTTCCCACTTTTCTATAATTAAAAAGCAAGCTAAATGGTAGGTGGTTTGGTTCTTAGGGTAAAAGAAAAGGGCAATTAAGTCTACATGGCATGGCTTTAGAGCAGCCAGTTGAAAATGTCATGCTGGTGAACAATGAGTTAAATGCCATCCACTCCCCTAGGCCTCCAATTCCCCATGGTGGAATTAAGCCCTTGAACTATAAGGCTCTTCTGGGTTTAAAAGTCTGTGTGTTTAATGCAGTAATGTATGTAAAAGGGTTTCAGAAAAGGCATAAAGCAAGACAAAGACTTAAGAAATTATCTAGTAGCTAATACAAGCCACTAGACATTCAGACTGATACAAAAGGTACCCCAGACCAAAGAGGAAAATTATAATAGTTATGCTGAAATGGCTAAATCCACTTTTTAATGGAGGAGAAATAAAATCTCCTTGAAAACCAAAAATTAATAGCAGGCCCCCCACCTTTTTTTTTACTCACAAAGCATCTTAAGGATTTTATGCACACCTAATCTAATTTTTCTTCCACCAAATGAGGATAACTAATTATGTATACTTCTGGTATGAGTAAGACAGTGGGTCAAAGTGGGATGCCGATGTTAGCAATAGTATTACTATATACTATTGTTAATGTGAGTAACAAATGCTGAAAATCATAGAAATTTCATAAACCATTATTCAGTCAGTGAAGGTAAGCTTTTTTTTTTTTTTTTTATTCTTGGGAAGCCTGGAGGTTACCAATTTCAAGAAAACAAAGACAGAGGCCCCTGTGAGGAATACTGAAGTGGTTTTCTCGCTGTTTCCCAGGGTACCTGTGAGCGGTATGCTGTCCGCACTCCCGGCAGAGAACGGGTGCAGAGCAGAGGGTAAGCCTCCCGGTGGGCTGGATAACAGAGGAAGGTAGGCTGTATCCACGTGGCTTTCATTCTTCACAGCGTCACTGGCAGCAGCACTCACCTTGTTACGGTTTGCCAGAAAGCATGAACTCGGAGAAGCCGTGAAGGCGGCTTTACTTGCATCTGGAATGGTTTGTAAACATGGGGAAGTTAACATCCCTCCCATAGTCCCAGTAGAGGAGCCCAAGTAAGAGAAACTGAAAATATCTTAGAGTTGTGTCAGAAATCTGGAAGCTCATGAGAAATGGGAAACAAAGCTGGCCCTGGGCTGTGTGCTTGTTTTATTTAACTGTACGCTTGTGGGTATAGGTGGGTTCTGAACAGCAATAAAAATAAAAATAATCTACTCTGGCCTGGCCAGCATGGCTCAGTGGTTAAGTGTCAACCTATGAACAAGGAGGTCACGGTTCAATTACCAGTCAGGGCACATGCCCGGGTTTTGGGTTCCATCCCTAGTGTGGGGCATGCAGGAGACAGCCGATCTATGATTCTCTGTCATCATTGATGTTTCTCTCTCTCTCTCTCTCTCTCTCTCTCTCTCTCTCTCTCTCTCTCTCTCTCTCTCTCTCTCTTTCTCTCTCTCTCTCCCTCACTCTCATTCTCAAATCAATAAAAATATTTTTTTTAAAAATGAATAATCCACTCTGGCAGGAACAGTCTTCAAAATGCAATTCATCACATCCCAAGTAGATGTGTTCTCTTCCTTCTCTCAACTACTGGAGAACTTATTTCTATGCTATTTATAAGGCGGTATACTACATGTGTTGTCTTGAATGACAGTGTTGTTGTTTTGTTTTATTATAGTCATCTCTCCAATCTTATCTAAAGTTTCAAAAGTTAAGAGCAATGACTTTGTTTCCTTCAGAGTTTCAGGAAAGTACCTTGAATACTCTATGGAAAAGAGTAGTCCCTAGAAAAAAACAGGACTCTGTTAATATCATTTTACCGTGTTAGCAGTGACGTGTTTGGGGTAAACTCTGAGACTGGTATAGACCCACTTAACACGTGTGCTTACAAATGCTCAAACTCCGGTTTCCACAAAGAAATATGCAACCCTCTGCTCTGCACCCCCTCCCTGCGGGGAATGCGGACATTTTAAGTTACCTGAATTTTTCATATACTTGTCCAGTAAATTCTGTAGCTCCTGCTCTTTGTCATTATTGAACTGGGTCTCCATGGCCAGGAGGATGTACTCATCAAGAAGCATGCGGATCAGATGGAAAGAGCCTTGTTTATGGAGGGGGAATGGGTAGAGGGCGTCGTGAGATGAAATAAGGGGGAGAGAGAGAGAAGGAAAGAGAAAAAGGGAGAAGTCAAGTTATCTTGGTGACCATCTCGCAATACTTTACAAGGAGCAACTGAAATAAACAAATACTTGTTGGACTTTAAATGACCTGCTAAGACCAACATGCTTAACCCGGGCCTCTAATCTTTTGGTGTCCCGCCTGCCCAGCTCCCTGTGTGTACTGTCCTGCCAGCTCTTTGGCCACTAATTACATCAAAGGAAAATACGGATGAAAGTGAGACATGCTTTATGCTTTAAGAGGGCACACATTGGAGTGTGATAAGCTTTAGCCTGGGGAGAATAAGATCTATTCTGCTCTATTTCTGTTTACTTTGTACTAAATAATTAGACAATGGCCAACATAGTCTGGAAAAAGTGTCACGTAAGAAGATGTCTTGAGAGCCTGAAACAAATGCTCTTTGATTTCAAGAAGGAAAAGAGCAATTTGCATGTAGAAGCTGTTCTGGAAAACCTTAGACTTTTTTTCTACTAAGATTTCCCCCCAAAAAAAGTCTCTTTTTTTTCTCATAAAAAAGACAGGATTCAATGTTGGATACTTTAAGAAACCTTAAATGTTAGCAGGAGAGTTAAAATAATAAACTCACTACATTTCATTTATCCCTCAATAAAAGTTCGCTGATTTTATTTAATTCCATTGAAAATTAAATAAAAACAACTTAGTTCATTATAAGCTATTTTATAATGTAAATATTTCTCAAAATGCAACTGCCAAAAGCAGAAGTACTGTAGTTAGCTTTATAACAATAAACTAAGATAATATTTTTAGGAAAAAGAAGGTGTTTCCTTTTTTAAAAGGCTGGCTTTACTCAATTTGCTTCACATATCACAGAGCAGGAAAGATGGTTCAGAAACTAAGATCATGTCTTCTAAGCTGCTCTTGACTTCCTGAAGTATAGCTATGTGGGTTCCTGGAAAATATGTAAAAATTTGCCATATCACAATGAGTAGTGCCTTTCGAAAATAATGCATGGATTACCATTTATTTGCTGGACCCCACCCATGCACAAATTCATGCACTGGGCTTCTAATGAATTCCTGCATGGGTGGGGTCTGGCCAGCCTGGCCAGGAGAAGGTGACATGGGAGGTTGGCCGGCCTGCCTGCTGGTCAAACTCCTGGTCAAGAGGACAATTTGCATATTAGCCTTTTGTTATATAAGATATATATTGAGTGGCCAGATTATTATGTGTTCAGAGATCATAATAATTTGGCCACTCAGTGTGTGTGTGTGTGTGTGTGTGTGTGTGTCACTCAAGTGCCTACATACTTCAATGAAAGGAATATTCTCCTTCTTCTATGATGAGCAGAAAGTGTGGAGAAAGCCCAAGTCAGAGAGAAGTGATAACACTGAATTCCACATGTGATCTGACTCTAAAACCCAGGTTCATAACTACTAGTCTCTACAGCACATGTGTCAAACACAAGGCCCGCGGGCCAAATCCGTCCCGCCAGGCCTTGCAATGTGGCCCGCACCGCGCTGTCATCACTGCACTCCGCTGCGTTTCCATCACAATGACAGTTTATGACTGTTCAGTAAGCCATTCGGCCCGCGATTTAGGCTGGATTTTAGATTTTGGCCCCTTCTCTGATTGAGTTCGACACCCCTACTCTACAGGCTTAATATTCAGATATGGTTTGAGAAGTGACAATGCCACATGTTGGAAAACAGATGCAAATGTGACTGGGAACAAATGGTGTGATTCATTTAAGAAGAGTTGAATAGAGCACATAGGATACCAAAACTGGATGCATTGTTCAAGGTGAGATTATGCATTACTCGAGCACCAAAAAAGCTCCACTTCAGCAGGAAGTCTTGGGCCCTCTTCTTTAATGATCTTCCATTTTGCTTGCTGGTCTAGAAAGTTAAAGAATAAAATGGTTCTATAAAATCTGTCCTCTCATTAGTACATGGATTACATAAGACCCAAGAGGTAGATAGCCTGTCTGACAAATGGACAGATGGCATGCACACCATGTGTTTCATCAAATAAAATGATCTGTCTAGGGATTCTTATTGTCCTTTCTTTAGTTTTTAAGGTTAATAGATGTTTGCTCTGTAGTGTGTTTGTTACCTAATAGAATTAAACAACTAAATGAAATAATTTACAAAATATTTTATCTCGTATTTTATTTTTACAGAACCAGAGGTGAACTGTGAAGGAGGGGTGGTATATTTCTGTGAATGATTAACTCGGACTTCTCTGGTCCTGCATGATAATCTGTTTTCCTTCTAGGAAAAAAAAAAAAAAAAAAAAAAAAAAAAAAAAAAAAGTCCCTACACTATAACTAGTTTCCTTGATATGGAATGGCTAACACCGACCAGTGATGGATATATTTGTTCTCATTGTCCTGTTTTCATGATGGATGACTTGAAGGTTAACAAAAAGAGTTGAAGAAACCATGTGGAAAACACAAAATACTGAGCTCTTGGAATTTAAAAAAAAAAAAATGTAAATACTTAAAACCAGCATTTATGGAAACTTACTTTTTAGAAAAGGGCCAGAATCTTTCCAGTTTCTAAGTTTACCTTTCACTACTGATGTTATTCAGCTGTAACTCTATTGACTGGTAGGGAAGGCCTATAGTAGCCTTCTACCTACCCACTTATTCAAAGGAGATATATTCCAAGACCCACAGTGAATGCTTGAAACCGTGGATAGTACCAAATCCTATATATATTCTAAGATTTTCCTATACACACATACCTAAAAGAAAGTTTAATTTATAAATTAAGTGCAGTAAAAATTAACAATAAAATTCACAATTATAACAATAAATTGTACTAAGTCATGCAAATGTGGTCTCTCTCTCCATCTCTACCTCTCTTTCAAAATATCTTATTGTATTCTACTCAAGTTTTCAATTAAAGGAAAAACTTCACACTTCTCTTTGGCATATCCAAATTGCCAGTATCACTGCTTTTGAACTTTGGGGCTGTTATTAATAAAATAAGGGTTACCACCAGTGGATCTGCTAACCCAGTCAGCTACTAAGTGACTCACAAGCAGGGTGAGCATGGGTAGCTGAAGAAAGGGAAGGAAGAGTCACATCCTGTCAGGACGGAGTGGGATGGTGAGAGATTTCCTCACACTACTCAATGAAGAATTAAAACTTGTGAATTGTCTATTTCTGGAATTTTCCACTTAGTATTTTCAGACCACTGTGGACTTGAGGTAACTGAAACCACGAAAAGCAAAATTGCAGTAAAGAGAGACCACTATAGTGTCTGTCTTGTAGTCCTTAGTCAAGAAAGGATCAGTAGAATCAAACCCATGCCCAGTGCTCTCAAATCTGTCATATTCCTAATTTTGCTATTCGGGCTGCCTTATTTATAGGGCTTCAACACTCCTCAAAGCATTTTTACACATAGACTGTCACCCCACCACCAGGAGTAAGAAATTACAGCCAGTTTAGCATTTATTATTGAAAAGTACCTTAATTACTCTCTGCTCTACTACAGTATCCAACCATTCAATAAAGGCCTCCACGGTGGCATTCTTCTTAAGGAGATCTTTCAGTTCTTGGAACACCGTGATAGAGTCATCTATCATGTATAAAAGGGGGGGAAAAGCAGAATATTGCACTCTAGATTGAACCCATGAGAAAACCTAAAACTAGGGATCATTAACAATATTATATAATAAAAGTGAAAGACAGGGAGATTAAGTTACATATGTTAAAGGAATTCATTTCATATCTTGAAAACAATAACAAAATTCCTTGGTACTTTACTCTTTAAAATTTTGTAAGTGATCTTGGTATATGTTGAAATATAGGTTTAGATATTATAGAAGTATGTTTATACTAGAGAAGAGTAAGTTGCCAATATAGTTGACTACTCGTTTTGAATCCAATGCTTTCATTAAATGCAATGGCTTAGTTGGGAGCTAAAGGATGAACTAGGCTTATTGATTTCTTGTTTATGCAACATTCTTTATCTTTAGCAAAATTTCAATTCTGCGCTGAAGGGTGAGCCACTTACATGAATAATCTTTTATCATGCAAAACTTAAAGGGACAGTTTACGATTATCATTTTATTAAAGAGTTCAAGGTTTACTGAGTCTTAATATAATCTTATATTAAGGAACAGAAAGCCAGGTTGAGGTTGGACCATCCCCAGAGAGCAATTTATTATTTGTGCTACCGCCTATACAAGGCTGCATTTTTTATTTTATTTTATTTTACTTTATTTTTTGTCTTTTCAGAAGGAGATGAAGGGAGAAATAGAAGGTTGTTATCCCTTGGAAACCGAGCTGGGTTCTCTAGACACACATATTGGCTTAGTAAACTCACTCAGGTGTTACAAACCTGATCAGGGATTCTCTGCTTTGAAAAACAGTATTGTGCAGAGATAACATTTTTATATGCATCATATGCCATAGATGCCAAGAGCATTAAATACATGGAAATGTGGATGCCTATAATATAAAACTAGAAAAAATTTCACAAAACTCAAGACCATTTTGATTATTTCCAGATTATTTCTATTTTGGTAATATCTAGGCGATAAGATTATGGATAACTTTTATTTTCCTCTTAATATTTTCTAAATTTTCCACAATGAGTCAGTACAATTGTTTTTAAACAAAGAAAATTTTTTAAAATGTGGTTTAAAAAAAAACAAAACAGAATTCTCAAACATAGGATTTTTGTACTCCAATGGAAGAATATTTGGCAATGTCTGGAGACATCTCTGTGTTATCACAACTGGGGGAAAGCTACTACTGGAATCAAGTGTAGTGGGTAGAGGCTAGGGGTGCTGCTAAATATCCCACAATGCACAGGACAGCCCCCCTCAAAAAAGTTATCCAGTTTAAGATGTCAATAGTGCCAAAGCTGGGAAACCCTGCTCAGCAGAGAGAAGACTTACGTTCAGTGTAGATATCAGAGTCAGTGTCTGTGCTGCCCGAAATGGTGAGAAGGGCTTGAGATCCAATACTATTCAAGTCAACCTTTTCAATATCCGACACCATAGAATTCACGACATGCTGGTCGAAGAGAGCAGGTCTGGCAATCTGCATAGAAAAGGTTGTTGTTTTTTAATCACTAGACTACTTTAGTGATAGTCTATATAAAGGAAAGTTTTAGCTTCTAGAATCTAGAGAAACATTTCCTTCATGAAAAAGTATCATAAGTATTTTCTTACTTTAAAACTAAAAAGCAATAACTGAGCCTCATGATCATCTCTGATAAAAGTTTGAAAACTATTTTGGACTTTGAAAATGAATGTTTTAATTCATAGGGGTGTGCAGGAAGCAGATGATCAATGATTCACTCTCATCATTAATGTTTCTATCATTCTCACTCTCTCCCTCTCCCTCTCTGAAATCAATAAAAATATATATTTAAAAAACACATAAAAATATACAAACATGCAGTTTAATTTTAAAATTGCTTTTTTTCCTCCTCTATTAAGAAAGCCAAATGAGAAAGCAGTTTTAAAACGTGTTGGTTTTGTGGGTTTTACAACATTAAATATCACATGGGCTCATTTCTTTCAAATTTAATTGTTGTTACTTAGATTCATGTGGCAAATAAGAGTTTTACATTTTACATCGCATTTGAATTATGTTTTTACTTTTATTTTGAAGTAATTATAAATTTGTAACAAACTTTCAAAGTCAGTGCAGAGTGCAACTATCCTCAGTATCTACTGTTGCTGACCCCATATATACAAAGGACCAACTCTATTTCCATATGCTGTCTATCTAGCTTCTCCTAATATCACATCTTACATGACCATTGTATATTACCCAAGTCAGGACATTAACTACTCTATAGAAGTAATTCAAATTTTATCAGTTTTTCCACTAATGCCCTTTCTCTGTTCTAGAATCTCACAATGTATTTAACTCCTGCCTACATACTCTCCACACTCTGCAAGTCCCTCTGCCTTTACTATTAGAAGGTTCATGTTTGAGCTGATGACTCAGTGCCCTCGGCTTGCTAACGTACCTGAGCAAGATGCAAGAAAGATGTTTGTCGTTTCAAAGAGGATACAAATCTTCGCACAATAGGTATTTTCTTGTCAGTCAGAGCTTCTGGCAAGTTTTCCAAGGATGAAACAACCCACTGTTCCCAATTTTTAGCAAAATTTCTTATGTCTGCTAATAAGCTACAAAAGAAAAAACCCCACACAATATGTTCAATGCTAAGTTGTTCAAATGCATTAAATAAATGTGGTGTAATGAGGTGAACAATTATTGTATGATTCCAAGACATGGCTTTTGATGTCAGCCTATGGCTGGCATTTATCATCTTGCTCAATATACTCAGTCTCCTCAAGCTGCAGTTTCCTCATCTGTTGAGTGCAAGTAAGAATAGTATCCATGTCACAAGATTATGATGAGAATTATGTGAAATAATTCATGAAAAGTGCTTAGATTAAAGCTTGTCATGCACAGTGTTTAATAAATAATTATTGTCAATATTAACTCGTGATTCAATCATTTTCTATAAAATATTCCTGGGAAATATAAGTATGCATTTGATTTCTCATATTTTAGCTTCTTGAGAGCCCATCACATTGGAAGTGACATCATTTCAGATATGTAATATTAGCTTATAGTAGCATATTAGTATAATCCAAATATAACTCTGAAATAAATTATCAAAAATGTTCTCATTAGAGGACCCTATTTCAAAATCGCAAATGTTGGTTGTGTTTATACTATGAAAACATATAAAAATTTTAAAAATCATTTAATAATCTACTGATTATATATAAATAAAACAGATTTAAATATATTTGGAATGGTGCTTAAGTTGAGGACTGAGATGGTACAGGAAAAAAGAGCAGATAGTTTGGGGTTAAATAGACTTCAATTAAAATATAGGCTGACTCTAAATAACAAGCAAATAAATTAAATAAATATAAAATAATAAACTAACTTCTCTCTGCTCCTGGCTTCCTCATTTGTAAATTTAGGATCATAATTGCTACTTGGAATTGGGTTAAAAAAGCTCCAATTGGTAAGTAATTAGTTCAATAAAGAAAGTATAGTGATTTTTCAATGCTAGAAACCTCTGCAACCATTTGAAACGATGTTGATCTGTGTTGTTGATATGAAAACTTTTCACTGCATACTGCCATAGTATGTATACGATGGTTTTACTTTTTTAAATGTACATATTTACAGTTATTTCTAGAAATCAGTCTGTGAGATAATAATTAAGACATTAAGAAGATGGTGAGATTTTGAGTAATTTTTTAATGTAATTACACGTTTTTTCATTCCCTACAATGAACATTAATTACTTGCAAACTTAGGGGTAAATATGTCATTTCTTTCAGGCTTATTGTGTGTATTATTGGCTGGACCTACCTTTCAGGCATTTCTTGCATTGTTGCAGGAATGAGTACATCTGTAAGAACCTTAATCACAGCAAAAGAGAGTTATACATTCTTACTTAGTATTTCTGTAAAAAGACATTATTTGACAATTGCATTTATTCCTAGCTTTCAAGGGAATAACATGTTAATTCATTTCTGAAACTTAGACTTTTATCTCTAAAAGCAATGCATGCATGAGGTAGGGGTATGTGTGTGTGTTGTGTGTGTGTGTGTGTGTGTGTGTGTGTGTTTAAAAGGTAGGGAGATGGAGATGGAACCGGTTTGGCTCAGTGGATAAAGTGTCGGCCTGTGGACTGAAAGGTCCCAGGTTCGATTCCCGTCAAGGGCATGCACCTTGGTTGTGGGCACATCCCCAGTAGGGGGTGTGCAAGAGGCAGCTGATCGGTGTTTCTCTCTCATAGATGTTTCTAACTCTCTATCCCTCTTTCTAAAAAATCAATAAAATATATTTAAAAATTAAAAATAAAAAAGTAAAAGGTAGGGAGAGGGGAATATCTAAAAACATTGCAATTACTAGGTTAGGCAGGTGACACTAACAGTGGGTATTCCTGCTAAATGTCTGGCTAGAAGACCAACTGGCTCCTGTTGTCTTTGTTCAGGCTGTCTTTGTGATCCTTCTGTAGATACTTGGGGACTCTTACTTGGTTTGAAAACAAAAATGACAATAATGCATTAAAGCTGGAGATTTTAAAGATTTTTCAAGTTATTAGTCCTGGGAGAGTGCTTAATTCTGCTCTTCCCCAAAACACTGACATTATGGGGGAAAAAACCACATACACACACACACACATTGTTATTTAATCTGAAAACACCTTGAACAGTTAATAAAAATTAACTGTGTCCATGTATAAGTATGCCGCATTTAGAATTATTCTTAGCTATAAATAAAATTGATTTTATTTTTATATAAACTTAAATTAAAATACATATACTATTAAATATACACTATTAAACTGCTTGCTTTCTCATCAGAAAAAAAAAATTAATGGTGTTGCTCCAGCCAGAAATAACAAATTTATTAAAAATATATTGCAGAAATGTAGACAGAATGCTCTTAAAAGAAATATATGCTAGTAGTTTGTGTTTAAAAGAACCCAAAGAACTTACCTTATAAAGAATTGAGTCGCAAACACAGAAAATGTCAATGATAACAGGGTTTTCAAGCAGGGGAAGGAGATGATCAGGCATACCTTGCCAAAAGTGTAACAAGAAATGCTGGATCTAGTTGCAGGGCAAAGATTACATACATTACGATTTTTGCTTCAGCTCATATAAAGAATAGAACAAGAATGTATTTCTAGTACGGTCAGCAAAGCATTTTTTGTCACTCTTACCTCTTCAAAGTTCCCATTAATTGCATTGTCCAGGATGCATTGGCAGTGAGTTTTGTACATCATTATGAGGGTATCTACCTATTTAAAGGAAGAAAAAGCTTAGCCACAGCATCCTTTCAACACTGCCTTCATTTGTTCATTCATTCAACACACATTTATTAAGCTCCTGTTATATACCAAGCATTGTGCCCCATGCTTCAGCTAACACACCTCAATCAACTTCTCACTGGGCAGTCCCATCTTTTCTGTCTGAAGAAAGCAGGTGCTGAGCTCTAGCCCACCCCTCTTTCTAGGAACTGTAAAGTTATCTGGGGAACTTGGCTACTGGTGAAGAAGGTGAAAGGCGGGGTTCAGGGCCCTCAAAGGAAAAAATGAGTGCTAATCCCTGGTGCTCATAATGGGGACCAATGGGAATGACTTAGAAACCAGGGTTATGTAAGCACCTTGATACCTGGCTGAGATAATGATCTACAGACCAGTTTTCAGGTTGACTGGTGAGGAGTTCCTTGGAAGCCAACAGAGAAACAGAAATAAACTATTGGAATATGTTCCTCACTTCTCTTTTTCCTTTTTTGCTCTCTCCCCACCTTTCTCTCTCATCAGGTAAAGTCTTTACAATACGTAGGAATCCTCTCCTCAAAGGTGCTCAACCATACCCTCCCCCAAAAGAACTGTGTTCCCTGAGGTGCCACTGATTTCCACAGGTTTCTCCACAAACTGCCACATGTTAACATTTACAGGAGCTACCTTAAATCTGAAGTCATAATTTCACACATTACATCTTTAAGGTAAAAAGGATGGAAGAAGAGAACAGTAGGAAGTGGAAACACTTCAGGAGATTTGCTTAGAATCAGCATTTGAGAATAACCTTCGATACTTCACCTGTTCTTAACTGGCAGAGTAGGTGTCATCAGAAGGAACCCCAGAAGTTACTGTCTGCCTGTCTACCAATAGTTCTCTTATTAATGTATTATTCTCATTTCTGGATTCTACAGTAATACAACTGAGCATTAGTTCATCATATTCCTCTATCTTTGCACCTCAAAATATGACCAAAGATGTTTTCCTCAAGTGCTAATGAAAAATGAACTCCAGTTTAAAAAATAATGTCGAAATTGTGCCCTGAATTAAAAATAGATACTGCTATTAGTCAGCTAATAGGTATACAAAAATGACTTCAGAAATTCAGAAATAGAGGAGGATTTAGCCACATGTTTTATTACATAAACACTGGGGGGAAATCATGTTGAGGATTATTTACAAACTAAATCCCATGAAAAAAATTTCTTCCTTAACTTTCAAAAACACTTGCAACTGTCAGAGAACCAAGAATTTTAGAATTGAAAAGAAGCTTTGTGACAATCTAGTGCATGACCTTGCATTCATCTACATTCTGTTCTGCAGAAGTGCTTGATAATTCTTTACCAAAATTAAATGGAGTACATCCCAAACATAAAGCTTATGATTTACAACCTGCCTGTGATAGATGCATTCTAGTATTTTCTTCCTTCATACTGAGTTTTAAATTAAAAAAAATCTTTAGTCTTGTAATGTTTATTTTACCATCTTCTGATGATGTACTATCATGGAGATGGTAAATAATTAATTGGAAAGTGTTTGATCGATGTTAGTAAACACTTGTCCCTTCAATAAATCAGTCCATGATGTTTGAGTATGCAGATTTCTGACTGCTTCCTGCAAGTGGCATGAGATTCCTAGCAAAGGGAGATATGGAACCAACATATCAGAAAATCAATAGTGAAGTAGCTTTCATTGATACCTTTTCTTTAGAAATGCATCCTTGGTACACAAGGTGTTGAGCGCTGGGGAATTCCGGGAGAAGTGTTCCAGTTTTTGAGCTAAGTGAATATTTACGAGTGAAGCCACCCTATAATTTAGAAAAATGGAAAGAAATAAAATCATTATTAAAAATACAATTATAATAAGATAAGGACCCATAAAATTTCATTCTTTGTCCTAAAACCCATGGGAAATTTGAGATTTAGGTAAACTGTTTAAATTGTGTAACTGAATCAACAAGACATGTCAACAGAATTATTGTTTCCATACCATAAATAGTTTCATAGTCAGGATAAATTTCCTATTACTTTGGATTTTAGCTTTGAACATTTTCTAGTTTTCACAACTTTTAGAGATTTTAGTTCACATTTTGAAAGGTCTACTATTAGAACTATTAAAATTATTATAACTCTGAGAGAATAAAGAATTGCCAAACCCAGCTTCCTTATTTATGAATTAAAGAAATGTAAGTTAATTTAATTATTCAGTCTCAGAGATAATTAACTGTAGAATTTTGATTAGAGTCGAAGTCTTCTAACCCCCAAACCAGTACTCTGGACTTTCTCCCCTCAACCTTCCCCCAACCCTAAATGAAGATATTTGTTCTTTAGAATCTCTTGGGGAAAACACATCTCTATCTGATTTTGGGTTTTAGCCCTGTTAACCTTTAGTTATGGAAATGGATAATGGTAATCATTGTGTGAAAATTACAGATAGAATACGAATAAATGTTAAGAGTAACTTTATACTTTTAGAATAATATGTATAAAATATATTTATGATATGGAATATACAGATTTTAACACACAATATATTTAAAAAAAATACCCACTAAGCATAGAATTTTTAAATTACATTCATCAAAAGACACTATAGAATGTTGAGTTATGCCACCAACAGTGAGAAGTTATTTACAACCCAGAATTTCACTCCTGCACATGTGCACTTGAAAAATATTCATAGAAATACTGTTTTCCAAGGAAAAGTTTCCACCAACAATGGAATAAATGCATTGTGATATGACATTTTTATACAATATAATACTATACAGAGTACAAATAAAGGTACTAGAACTACATGTATTAACATTGATGAATCACAAAACCTAATGTTGAATGAAACCAGAAAGCCACAGAAAAAAAAATGAATCCATTTCTATGAAGGGAAAATAATAAACAATGCATTGGTAATAATAAGATGGACAATAATAAACAATATGTAAAATTTACTATCTTAATCATTTTTTAAGTATACAATTCAACAGTATTAAGTATATTCAGGTTGTTATGCAATTATCACCACATGTTTAGGTATTCATTCATAGTGGTAACCTTTAAGGAAAAACAAAGGACTGATTAAGACCAAATTCTGGAGAGCAGAAACTTTTGGTGTCATGGGGAGGGAAATGATTGGGATAGGGCACACTTCTCTCTTTTAAGCTATGAGGTACATCTTCAGTTTTTAATCTTATGATTATTTTTAAAATTGTGTGTGTGTATGTGTGTGTGTGTGCTGCGAATAATATTACATTTCCCAATAAAAATTTGAGTGTTAAAGAAACACATATTAAAGAACAAAATATATGTTCTATTTTAATATTTATTTAAAGCTCTCATGTTGATAAATAATAGTTTTGTGTAACAGAAGCTATCAATTGTGTGGAATATCAAGAGTGCAATGGGGGGGAAAGGAGGACCTATGTAATATGTTCAATAGTAAAGATTTCTTTTTTTTAAAAGAGTGCTACTGGAAGGAAAGGGCTTAAAATTTAAATTTGTTTGAATCTGTTACCAATTGTGTCAAAGCTGTTATAAAATCAAATAAGATCTGTCCAAAACAGAAAACAGAAAAAAAGAAGGATTGATAAATTAGCATAGAAAGTAAAATATAACAATTTTGATTCAAGGAATGTGTTTGCTATTTTAATGGTAGTAGGAGGTGCCAGATCGTAGGCCAGCTGCAGAGATCTGAATTTTTTTTTTCAACTGATGACTTCAGTACTCTTGAGTAAACTATTTTAAAATCTTATTCCCAAAAGAAAATAGAAAGGAACCTACAGAAAAGAAGCCATATGATTAGAAGGCAAGAGGGTCTGATTTATGAGGAAAGATTAAAGGAATTCAGTTGCAGTCTGGCTAAGTGATGACTAAGAGAGAGCATGATAACACTCTACAAATATTTGAAGAGCATATACCAAGAAGGAAGGATTTGTTATTTATCTTGGTACAAAGTTGTTGAACTGGCCATGAATAGTTGATGTTAAGGAGAAGGAAACTCAAGCTATCAGGGAAACTTCCTGGTTGAAATGTATGAAATGGCAGAAATTGAGATACTAAGGGACTTTTTCCTTAAGAAATAATGGCAAATCAGTACTTTAGCTGGTTAAAACACAATAAAATTTGAAGCACTACATTTATGAATAAAAACTATCAAAATTCATACTACTGACTGATAATTACTCTTACCATCCTCTTTCTTTTTTGTTTTGCTTTTGTTACTTTTGTCTGCTTTTATACTAAGAACTACTTAAAGCTTTTTAAAAAGTATAGATTAAAAATTAATAAATACCCTTGTACTCACCACCTTGATTAAGACATTAGACATTTGAAACGTTAAAGCAGCTTCTATAGCTCTCTCTAATCTCTTTCCCTTCCTTCCTCAAAGAAATAATTAATATTCTGGATTTGGTTATTATCATTCCTATTCAGATCTCTAAGATTTACTTCATGTGTAAATATTCTTAAGCAATAAGTACTATTGCTTTAAAAATGGTACAAAAAAGTATGTATCCTTGTAAGTTCAATAAGCTTTTTTCACTCAACTTTAGGTTTTTAAAACTAATCTAATTTGGCTCTTACAGTTATAGTTCAGTCCTTTCTAAAGAAGTATAGTGTTCTCTCATTTAAATATATATAAAACATGTTTTCCCATTATATAATAATGGCCTTTTAATTTTTAATATTCTGAAATTATAAACAATACTTTTATGAACATCCTCAGACAAGCCTTCTGTGCTCAGTGTGAAGGTTTCTCTAGGAATGCAGTTATAAGGTGTGTGCACCTTCAATTTTACTGCTTACTGTCCCTAATACTGCTTATGAGAGTTCCTTTCCTCCACATTCTCAAAACTGTATTTTTAGACTTTTTAATTGCTCATATTCCAATAATAGTTAAATAATTACTCACAGTTTTAATTTGCATTTCTCTAGTTAAAAGTTTGAATTGAGCCCTTTTCATATGTTTATTGGCAAAAATGGTATCCAAAATATTAGGGCCAC